GGGAAGTTTTCCATGCTGAGGTCTTCTCTTTACAAAGCAGAAACAAGAAAAGCTACTAACACAAATCACCAGCATCTCAGGATCTGAATATGAACCAACCAGCTGACAGAAGTGTCAGCCCTGTTTTAAAGCTGGGTCAGCACAGACAGGGAGAGATCTAAGCCCCAGAACTCCAGAGTGGAGAAATCAGTAGTTCTCACCTCCCAGTGCTCAAGCCAGGAGACCCTGTCTCTACCTCATTTCTGACTCATTAGGACCAACTGCACTGACTAAGAAAGAGAAAATTCAGACCATACAGCACCCCTAACCAAGTGCCATTTGAAAAACGCAGGCAGACAGCAGTCTGTATACAACACATGGACAAAACCCACTGTCCTCAACTAGAGACCATCCACAGCCTTAACAGAGAAGGTGGCCGAATACTGCACATCATTTCCAGAGCATCCACAGTGAGCTCTAGGTTGTACCAGGTACACTCAGTACCAACCTGCCAGAAGGAGGTTGTAGATGCAGAAACCTCATTGCACAGGATACCACTAGTCAGCCTGGCACCACAAAATGTCTTTTGTCTGGTGAAGCAGTGTTGGATCTTTAGACTGAGGTCTGCTGGAAGGAAGGTAATGAAGAGCTTTGCTGATGAGGGAAGGCAGAATAAAATGCCAAGGTCTGTCTGAGGACTTGTTTTTATTCCCTAGTGTGCTCTGCTGGAGTATGCAGCATGTCCCATCTAATTTTGGCTAAGCCAAATTGAGGAGTATGGAGCCAGGTAAAAAGCATCACTCATCTGGTGCTATCAAGAGTCTACAGAAGACCAGTGAAGATGTTACATGGGATGCAGCAGCAAGGAATGGCTGCAACCTGCCAGTGAACAGAAGGAAATACTGTAAGACAAAGCAGGAGGCAGCAAATGTGGAAAGCATAGCAGGACCACAGAGAAAGGCAGAAAGTTCTATCAGCAAGCTGCTAGGAACTACACTTAGCATAACAGGGATCTCCTCATTCCCAAAATGTAGCAGCAATCAGGACAAGTCTCAGACAAATCCCAATCAAGTAAAAGAACTGAAGTTTCATGGCTGAACTGACTTGACTCAATTATTTAGAGCTTTACCATAGCGTCAAAAAAATAAAATCACTGCTTTGAACTTGATTCTGTTTGGGTAAAGTAAGATTTAAATTGAGCCATGACATAAGCCATCAGTTTCATGATTAATTTCATCTTTCTCTGTCACAACAAGGATTTAGATAGGATTCACCTGTATTGGATGCAATACTTAAATTAGAAAGCTGTCATCTGGAAGCCCAAAGGCTTTAGTATTGGTAGCATTAGACTTCAGACATTTTATGTTGTTTCTCTTACACAGTCACATGGAAATCTTGACAGAGAAAGCAATTTATAAAAATGCCATATTCTGCAGGCCAGACAGATGAAAGGGGAAAAAAAAAAAAAAAAAACCACCACACTTTAATTCAAATATTGCCGTATAGCAGAGAAACCACAGAACTGGATGGAACCTCCTGGATCCTCACGCACCTTGAAACAACAGGTAACGGCATTAATTTCTTTCCTATGTTCATCAAGCTTTACCTTCAGCCCAGCCAGGATTCTTATACTCACTGCACCTGATGCAAAGTTGCTCAGAGGCTTGAAAGCCCAAATCATCCTTCAGATTCAATAATTCCTCCTCCTCAACACTGGAGCTTATTCTCTGGATGTGTTCCCATTGCTTAAAATTATTAAGCTATGTCACATCACCTTAACACATCTCCGTTGATCATCTTTTAGGCCTGCCTGAAGCACCTCCTTGCTGATGCTTTTTTTTAAAAAAACCAAAACAACAACAAAAAAAAACCCAAACCCCTCACATTTCTTTGTTCCAATTTTTCATTGTGCAAAGCATTGCAAAACACTGCGTATAATGGCACCAACACTTCCCAACCATGCTAGAAGCATCTCGTAAAGCTAAGATCACACCTGTCTTCCAGTCATGCCCCTACGGTAACTCAGTCACCTGCTAGCTTTTCTTTCCAAACTGATGAACCCCAGTTCACAACAGAAATTCTGCCTATTACTTTGTTGAGGCATATGCTTGCCCTCTGAATCTACAGTTATAAAAACATAAGTACAAGGCTTTAGAGCTCATCTTGTGTAATACACGTATCACCCTCCTCCTCCATGTTATTGCTCATGCCTCCCAGACTGCTTTCATCACAAATATCTGTCATATTCATACTCTTACTTTTTATGCCAAGGTCACAGATGAGAAGTAATGTGTGTCTCATGACTCCTGTCTCCAACTCAGTTTTCACTGCAGTACAAACACCCTCCCTTTCACCAGTTTGTTACCCGTCTTGCAATACTTGCATAAACCTCCATCCCTTTGACACAGTAATTAATTTTCCATATGACTCCATAATAAATCCTTTACAGAAGAGATCAGACAATGAAACTTTTCTCTCTAGAGAGAGCTGGTTTATGAAAAAGGCTAGTCTTACACTACCTGCCATGGAGCAAACCACATGAAAAAAATGTTATGCAGGTTTTAATGGGTCAGTTAATTCAGTCCTTGCTCAGTGCATGTTGTTGTACTCTCGGCTTGTTCTCTGTATTTTGTTACTAATCCTGATTTAACAGATTCAATAAAAAAAACCTGTTATCCAACATTGAGCATTACATGGTAACTTCTTCCATATTCCAGCATGGAGACCAACCAGTCCCTTTTCTTCAACATAGTCAATTCCATATCTATTTCAGTCACAGCAGTCTTATTCTGTTCACTCAGTGCAACTGCCTTACTGTTGTATCTACATGCTGTATCACTACTAAACTGAATCTTACTTTAGTTGTCATTCATCTGCAGGATCATCTTAATATAACCTTTATATTCTAACCTTGAACACAGAGCAACTGCCCCCTCCCTTACTTTCTTTAATAATTTAGAATTTAAAAGTCCTAAAATCTAACACACAGTTGCTTGTAATTCCTTCAAAGGCATGGGAGCTAAGCTTTGCAGTCTTATGTTCTCATACTTTCTGACCTCTAAGACACAGATGTGTCTACACCAACTATTCCCCTTCTTGCACAGCATGGCTGAATTCAGCAAACCAAGGTGTCCTCTTACAGCACACAGTTTGCAGAAGTTGCTACTGGCTTCAGCAAGTCTCAGGCCATATATACTTCACTGACTTTTCCATCAAGCTCAAGACCCACCCAGTATCTTGGTCAATACAGCTTGTATCTCTTACAGTAAGCGCCCAAGCCAAATATTTTGTACACAAGGTTTTATCAAAACAATGTGCTATTTTCCAGAAGAGACTATACAATTGCACCCTACACCAGACCACATCAACCCTTCTTCTGCCATTAGAATATTCCCTAGTAGGTACATTAAGGGCATCTGTACCAAGGGCCTTGGGGGCGAAGAAGAGGCAGAAAACAGAGAGGTCAGTTCCCAAACTACTACAAATAGTTTATATGACTGAAAAGTGAGAGACACCATCAGCAGTAGCATAAACATAAAGCTGAATTCCATCTGCACCTGACACAGAGCTTCTGTTAAAACCTGGACACAGGTAACCTATTTCAGGGGCCATTCGTACATTGAGAAATCCAAAACCCAACCTCACCACTTAGATGACCTGTCTGCCTACTGACTGACAAGTGGAAGAAAACTCAGCAATAAAAATCACCAAAACCAAAATGCAGAATGCATTGAAGTTCCTGGAAAACCCTACAAAGCCACAGCCTAAACTGCAGCAAGAGCTAGAGTAATGTCCAAGCAGGAATATAAATCCTTCAATAGCCTAAACATTTCAGAGTTTTAGAACTTTAGGAGTGGAGCATCCTCATGCTGCTCCTGCTCCCAAGAGCACCTTCAAAGGGAAGATTACGTGAAGAGACTTATTTCAGTTGTTTTAACATTTCACTTTGAGGCTCAAGTATTTGCTTTTATGTCCAATCACTACTGAGCCAAACCAGGCTCATCAGAGGAGTGCCAGGAACAGACTCCACACCCGGCGGCTGCAGCCAGGAATAAAGCTGCCTCTGAGGAAAGAGCTGGGCACCACCAACAAAGATGGCACAAAGGTGGTAGCTCTTAGAGCTACAGGGATGGCTGGATTGGAACAGACCAACAGTCCATTTAGCTCAGGATGTCATCTGAAGGCCAGGGGCAAAATCTGGTTTCTTATTCTGTGCTGAGCAGAGACAGACCCCTTGGCACACCCCTCCACACACCCTTCTCCAGCCCCTGGGGATCGCATACAGGCTATTGATTTTAATACACCAAGCTTAAGTCTATGACCTTGTCTAATACTTCAAGAAGCCACTTACACTTTTGTCACTGCAGAGGCTGGGAAAAAAAAAGTGCCGGCTGGAGGGGGGGGGGGGGGGGGGGGGGGGGGGAGAAGAGAGATCTAGCACCCTCAAGATTTCCTACCGTAACCAGTAACCATTCAGACAGGAGCTACTTCTTTTCCCTTTAGTGTGTTTAGGAAAAGGTCATATGGACCAGGTGAACTACAAACTAGGGAGGAAACATTGCTTTTGTTTAGACTCTCTAAAAAACTTTTAAAGAACAAGTAACAAGAAATAGTCCTGTGATTTCAGACAGTGAAGACAAAAGAAGGGGCACACAGTGGAGGTTTGGGGAAGAGGCATCCATAACAAATGAAAGAACGAACTTTCAGCAATAAAAATTCAAACAAGCAGACGTCTAAATGAAATAAGGAATAACCTGGGCCCACCTCTAAAGACAGTACAAGGTACCTATAGCTTCCCTTGATCTCCCTGTATTGCCACTCTGAAAGCAGAAAATCATGAGTCAAGGACACAAAGGGTCACAAGC